TTCCCCCATAAATGTTGGTAACTCTCCAGTAATTGTGACAAGCAAAAGCCCTGACCCTACACATAATTGGAGGTGGGGTGGTGTTGGGTGGAAGAGACTTAGTTTCACTAACAGATGATCTCTCTATGGTTCCCTCAAGTGCAAAAATTCTATAAACTACAAACCATTCATTTATATTCAAGTGACTAGTCCATAAATGGAAAAAAAAAAAAAAAAGTAGAAAAAGAAGAAAGAATTAAGTGATTTGGAGACAACCAAGATTTTAAGTTCCATTTACCTACTTCCAGGCCCTAGCTTAGGGAATCACAATATAAAGATTTAGGGGCAACCGTTTAGTCAACACAAGAGTACTACTAAGAGTTAAATGAGTTGTAACAACCTAAATAGGTGATATTTATTCAGCATTTGGGGCTAGGAGCATAGTTCGTGGTAGAATATATGCTCTGCATGCTGTAAGCCCTGGGTTTAATTCCAGGCAGAGGCAGAGGCAGAGGGAAAGAAGTAGCACTTTACTTCCTTGCTCCTCAAAGTACACTACAACACTTAGAAGCTTAATAGAAATACACAATCTCAGACCCTATCCTAGATCTACTGAATCAGAATCTGTGTTAATAAGCTTCCCAAGTGGATGGTTCAAGAAATACTATTTTACAATTACTAATTCATTTAAACGTGTAATTAATTTAATCCTCATGACAACTCAACAATGTAAACATTGTCCTCCATTTTACAGATTAGTAAACTGAGGCAAGGCAAGCATGAAGTACTTGTAACTGTCAGTTACTATGCCATGATTTAAACTGACAAATTTTTGTTCTAGACCCTAACCTGTAGACCATTACTGCTCTCTCAATTTTTAAACAACTTATACTGTTATCCATAACTGTAGCCAGGTGTGGTGGCTCATGCCTATAATTCCAGCACTATAGGAGGCTGAGGCAGAAGAATTACAAATCTGAGGCCAGCCTAGGCAACTTGGAGACTTAGCAAGAGCCTGTCTCAAAATAAATAAAATGGGACAGGGATATAGGCAATGGTAGGGCACTCCTGGCTCAATGCACAGTATTGGAAAAAAAAAAAAAAAAAAAAATTGGTGTCTAAGTACTTTTTAATGATACAATTAAGATAATCTATTAGGTGAAGCAGGAGGATATAAACTTGAATATACGGTATGAAACCAAATATGTAATTATTAAGAAATGTACATGTGGTCAAAAAAGATCTGGGATAAATGTTACCAATACAGGTTAAGAAGATGAGATCTGCTGGGTACAACAGTGCCAGCACCGGAGAGGCCGAAGTAGAAGGATCAAGAGTTCAAGGCCAGCCTGTGCTGCACAGTGAGACCCTGTGTCAAAAAGCACAGTAACAAAAAGAAAATGGAATCTGGCATCAGAATGTCATAGTTCAAACTCCAGCTCTACCATTTCCTACTTTGATTATTTTTAAGGTGAGATGCTTAATTCTCTTAAACCTCACTTTCCACATCTATAAAGTGGGAACCATAAAAAAGTAATTAATTAATTAAATAAAGTAGTGACAGTTTTTACTCCATAATTTTTTGGGGACGCCATGGGGTAAAGAACACAATGCCTAAGTACTGAATATTATTATTCGTCTTTATGCTTTTTAGTTTCCAAAAGTTCTTCAATAAACATACATCATACTTCAGTAATACCTTGACTGCTGACTATCTTATAAAGGGTTATGTGAAGAAAGTGCATACTCCTCTTATTAGATAATATAAGAATGAACTCAAGCAATTAACAGCTCAGTAAGAGACTGAAAGAAGATCTTGAAATAGCCATAATTAAGCAGTAAAACTCCGTAAAACTTCATAAGGGAGCTGCTGTGCCGGCTCCTCTCCTATAGGGCCTTTACTCAGAAGTCTATCATCTACCTTCAATGCTGGGCATTCCAAATTCATGGCAGTATCTGCCTGACCATGAGTAAGCTACTGGACATCTCTCAAAGTCTCAATCTTGGGCAGGGATATAGCTCAGCGGCACAGCGCCTGCCTGGCAAGCACAAGGTCCTGAGTTTGATTTCCAGTACAAAAAAAAACTCAATCTTCCCCCACTTGGAACAAAATGATACTCCTCCACTGGAGTTATCGTAAGGATTTAATGAGGAAAACATGCACAAAGCTACCTATGCACACACTGCCCAGTGTGCAAGCACTGCAAATTAGCTGAGTCCGATCGTCATCCTTATCATCATCTTTAGTTAAGTTCTAGAGCTCTTACTCCAGTAATAAAAATATATCTGTCATTTTAAACTACAGCTCAATAGTGTTTTCATTATTTTCCAATTGACTGTATCTTCAAAAAGCTCTTTCACTATAAATTATCAAGAGAACAGGGCTAAAAAAGAGACAAACATTCCATTCTAAATATAGTTTAGATTTATATAATTAAATAAACGAAGTCACATTTGGATTCTTTACTAATTATACAACTAGCAGTAGCAAACTCATTCCAGAAAGGTTTTCTCTCTTCTAGTACCTTTGTATACATAAACATAGCAAACAAATGAGTAAGTCACATGCTTAAGTGAACTCAAAACACTACCAGCTATAATTTAGGTCAACACTTTCCACCTGATAAAATTAGATCAGACTCAGTGCTGAGATTTAGAAAAGCCTAAGGATCACCCAGTCTGATCCTTCTGTTGTACAAATAGATTTAGGAAATGTAGTTAAATGGTAAACAAGGAAAACATTCAAATGCTAATCTACTGTTTCAGATATTATCCAAATCCTAAAAAGAATACAAGTATATTTAATTTACTTTTAAAATTACTTCAGCTTTTAGCTTAGCTAAAGGTGTTACTATTAATACCACACTTCTGAGGTGCCAGCTTTCTAACTCTGAACAGTCCTGAACCCACAGCTTTGAATTCTATTTCAAGATATTTCTTTCCGTAATCCTAGCAATCTGGGCACTGAGGCAGAAGGATCCCAAATTGGAGTCCAGCCTGGGCAATTCAGTGATTTAGTGAGGCCCTGCCTCAAAAAATAGAAATGTAAAGGCTCTGTGTTCAATCCCCAGTACCACAGGGATTAAAAAAAATTTAAAAAACCTTTATTAGAAGCTATGTGAAGGATAGAAAAACAATGATCAGGATGTGTGGATTTTGTTTCTGCTGTTTTCTGAGACAGGCACATGCTGGTCTCACACTACATAGACCAATCCAGACTCAAACTCTCATTCCTCCTGCCTCAGCTTCTCAAAGGCTGGGATTACCAGCACATGCCACCATGGCTGGTTAATGGTTGGGTATTTAAACAGGTGTGATTGATGTCTAATGCAAATAACCAATAGTGATTTCTCTCTGTAAAGCTAGATTAAAGAGTTCATATTTATAGTATAAGATTACAAGGCTATTTTTCTTCGTGTTTATGTAAAAACTTTAAGACATGAATGGCTCTTAAACCTGTGGAAATATGCACAACTTAAATCATGAAGAGAACTGAAAATTAAAACAAAACAGCAAAATTCTGATCAAATTTGTAAAAACTTAAGTCATTAGGGGTAGGAAAAGATTTCTCCTTGAAATGTTGATTTTACACTTCTCCAATTTAACACAGCCTGAGGGCATAGCTCAGTGGTACACAGCGTGGCTAGCACACGCAAAGCATTGGGTTTGTTCCCCAGTCCTACAAATAAATACTATCAACAATCATTTCTGTTAACAGGCAGGTATATGATCATCTTGAGTATGTTTCTATATTTACATATAAAATTTAATACTAATGCTTTGGAAAAAAGGGAGAATGGGAATACTTTCATATTTTAGATGGGAATATAAAATAATCTCTATAAAGAAACTGACAGTAACTATCAAAATCATAAATGATTATATCTTTTGACTCAGCAATTCTACTTCAATAAGTTTACCCTGCGATAAACTCCCACAAGAGATATTAAACTGATAAGAACAGATACTACACTTGATCCTAACCAAAAGGCCGAGAAGCGATTCCCACAAGAGATATAGTAGGTAAACTGGGCATGGTGACACACACCTGTAATCCCAGCACTTGGGAGGCTGAGGCAGGAGAATCGAGGCCACCCTGGACTACATAGTGAGTTCAAGGCCAGCCTGGACTACAGAGCAAAACCCTGTCTCAAAAAAACAAAACAAAACAAAAAAAAGTGAAAGAGAGATATAGGAGGTAAAAGGACATTCACTGCAACATTGCTTGCAGTATTAAAATGGGTAACAATCTAAATGTCCATAGAAGGAGATGGGCTAAAATTATGATTCATAAAATGGAAAACAACACTACTGTAGCAGTAAATAGTAACTATATAGATATTAACATAGAAAGACCTCTAAGAAATAGTAAATCAATGTACTGTATACATACATATAATAAATATATAAATATAATATCCCTAGGACACATAAAAAATTAGTAATAACAGTTTTCCTAAAAAAGTCTGGGTGGCTGAGGAACAGGGGACAGAGGACTTGTATCTTACTCTATACACATTTATACATTTCAATTTCATTATATTTACTCTCCAAAAAAATTAACTTTTAAAATACTTATTTTAAATTTGGATGTCTTACAGTATATTCCAAGTAAAAGGATTCTCAAATTTTCCTTCATGACAGTTTTAAATTCAAGAGTATAAAGTCAGCATTCCAAGGACAAATCTTTTTTCAAGCCTACAGACGGGTGGCAGGGGAAGACACTAACATCCAGGCCTATGGACACACACCTGTAATCCCAGCACTCTGGGAGGCTGAGGCAGGAAGATTACAATTTTGAGCACAGTGTAGGCAACAAAGTGACTTAGTGAGATTCTATCTCAAAATGAAAAACAAAAATTTTTTTTTAAAAAAGGGCTAGGGATGCAGCTCAATGCAAAGGCCCTGGGTTGAATCCCCAGTACTACAAAATTAAAAAATAAAAAATCCTAAAGTCTGCTTCCAAGCAAAAACACGTTATTTGTACTGCAGAAAGATTAATAATGAAACTCAGACCTCACCTGACCAGGTCCCCATGAAGCTGCAAATAAAGACTTTCTCTCCCCTCTCCAGCACATATTTCTGACACTGGTGTCTCTACTGTGCAAAGGACGAGATGTAAGTCAGAGGCGGCAGAGGAGGAAGAGGTGGAGGCGGTGCTTGCAGTGGCAGTGGTTGTGTCAGCTCCATAAAGGTAAACACAGCCTCTCTTCACATCTTCTCTCAGCCAGTCTCTTTCTCGAGAACCAAACCTACTTCTCCTATTCAAACAATTTCTGCTCCCATTGCGCTTCATATTTCTCTGAAAAATACCAACAGAATGAAATCATCAGCTAGAACATTTGACTGAATTAGACATGTTCAGTCCTCACACCACCTCTCTATTTCATATGCAGCAACTCTGCTCAGGTCTCCCCTCCTCCTGTGGGGCTCCTGCATGCCAAGTCCGTTTTTATCCTGTTCGCAGTACTAGGGGTTGAACCCAGGGCCTTCTAACTGACCTACATCCCCAGACATGTTTATTTTTTATTTTAAGACAAGGTCTCACTAAGTCACTAGTTACCCAGCCTGAGCTCCAACTCCCAATCTTCCTGCCTCAGCTTCCCAGAGGGCTGAGACTACAGGTGCGTGCGGCCATGCCTGGCTTGCCATATCCATTCTCAATGTGGATGACCTAACTTTCTTTTTGGCTAGCTGTTCATGTCTCCACCTGCTATCTCTGGCCTGTTTTTCTGTTTTCAGAAAGGTGTCAAAAAAAACAAAGCCCAGAGCACTGCGGTGCACACCTATAATCCCGGCACTGAGGTAAGGATCACCATGAGTTCACTATCCTACACAACACGGCCATGTCCACAAAAAGAATAACAAAACATGTATCTACTACCCAAGTTGCACAAATTTTTAACATTTTCCTATATTTAGTGCAAATGCTTGTAATTTTAAAAATATATATAATACATCCTTACATATATAGATAAGGCTGCCTGATATTCTACTACAATCCCTTCCCTTCCTACCCTGAAACACAACACACCACTGTATTTGGTATTTATCACTACACACGTTTTTATATATTTTTCATATATGTATAAAGTATCTACATTACTATTTTACCTGATTTAAAAGTTTATCTAAATCTTAAGATAGCTTATGTCTAACCCCGCAACTTTATTTGATTCAACACTGGTTTAGATATGTTTGTTAATACACCTAGCTCATTCATTTGAATAATACTTCATTACATGACTACATGGCAATTTATCCACTCTTCCATTTAGCTTGTTTCCACACACCTATAATCCCAGCACTAAGGATGCTGAGGCACAAGGATCATGACAAGTTCAAGGTCAGCCAAGGTTATACATAAAAGGTTCAAGCCTGACCTGGACTATACAGTAGTACTTCATCCTAAAAAAACGGAAAGTTTTTGTGCAAGTCTTTTTATGCAAATATGTACATTTTCCTAACCCTCTGCTGCATATTCCAAAAAAGCAAGTACAGTATTAGCACAGTAGTTCATTTTCCAAGCCAGGCCTGGTGGCACATGCCCATAATCCCAGCACTCTGGGAGGTTGAGACAGAAAGATCATAGATTTAAGCCCAGCCTGGGCAACCTAATGGACTCAGTGAGACTTTCTCTCAAAATTTTACA